ATCAATTAACAATATTTATTTTCATTTCTAAGTTGATTCGATATATCCATTTGAACTTGAAATAAAAGATGCCACAGAGTCTGACACATCTATTTTTTATTTGGATATTTTACTATAAAAATACATAAATGGTACATGTAACCCGACAACAAATCTTTACCATAATCTTACTGCATGAAAGTTGTCTCCGAGGTGCTCAGGAGTGAAGAACAATTTTAAGCCCTCCTCCCAAACTTTTTTGTAAAAAGTATAATAAAGATTTGTCAATAACACATTTATTCTTTCTATTTAATCTGCAGCACCAGTACCTTGATGAGTTCAACTTTTCTATCGTTAGCATTCCTTATTTATGTAGCATATACCAGTGTCACGTGCATATTGAGTGTATGTCTCACTGTTGCTTCGATACGCAAGAGCATGTTCTACGTAGAACAATTTCTAAAACGAGGCAAGCTATTGACAAATATGTTGATGAAACAAGAATATCAACAGTCTCGTTTAAAGTCAAATTTTCGCAAATTCTATGGTCGATGCAAAGACCTTGTCAGCAAATACAATCTATCATTAAGTCGAATGTTGACCGACATTTTTCATACAAATTTTAGGCTATTTTCACACTGAATTTTCTACAGATTTTTCCGTTTACACGATCATGATCACAGGGGATGTGACCGGTCGAACAGGGGATGCTAACGGGGGAAGGGGGGGGGAGCTCCAATTTTCAATGACTATATTATGTCTATCTTTGGCAAAAAGTGTGTGTGGGGGGGGGGGGGGGCTCATACCCCCGGTTCCAACGCCTATGCTGTGCTTGGTTAATGTAAACAAATCCTCTTGATCGAAGAAGTTAAACATTTCCATATAGTCCATTCTAACAGAATAAGAGAAATGCTTTAATCAGTATATGTATCATTAAAAAAAATGCAGATGACCGAAGACAGAGACTCTCGCATGGTACACTAGCTGTACTATGGACAGTCTTTTTGCAAACCTCAACATTGACCATTGGGATTGCTGAAATTCTAAAAGTGCAGAAGCTGCTTGCTATACGTAATTAACTCTACGCGCGGCAGTAAATTTGTTGATTTGAAATTTTGTAATAAAAAATGAACTTTTACATGATTTTTGGGTGAAATTTTATACAGTTTTTTGATGAACAATATACAGTATTTTAACCTAGATTCCAGTATTTTCAAGGCTATTGGGTCTAAGAATTATCACATGTATTATACATATATACTATAAATAAGTGTGACGTCATAAAGGATGAAAATAACATCGTTATCATCCGTACACCGTAAGGCGATTCCACACATAAGATCCCATATTTTGTTTATTTGAGCATATATCTAATTTGTAATTTGCTTTGTTTATTTATGAAAAATGTACTAAAGAGTAGTGAAAATTTTAGAACGCAGTGCTGATTTTTTTTTCACTGTAGAGAACTTGTCCACGATTTTACCGGACAACCTTCGTATTTTAGCAAAACATTCATTGACCGGAATTTCGAGAAACATGCGTTAGTCGAACCCTCGAACCAAACGGTTGCCTAACAGCCTCGGGCAAACAGTTTGGTACTTGGGTTCGACAAAAAGCATGTTGCCCTCGAACCGAGTCAATAAGTATACAACTCCGCGTGCTTATTAAGCTCACATGATTTTTCGCACAAAATTAAAGTCACATTGTTACAATGTGATATTTGTGTTACGAGACAACAAAATATATTTTAAAAGTGTGTTTTTAAGTTATTTGATTTTTTATTTCATTTTTATTATTAATTTGAAAAAAAACAATTCACAAATAATATTTGGTAGGACTTCGATATACTCTTGGCTGTAAATATAACAATTCCCAATCGTTTTTATGGTTTCTTGCCACTTGCAGCCGTTTATCCGACCTATGAAAGAAGAAGCTTTTAGCAGAATCGTAGCTCTTCATTTATCTCCTTCATATGACTTGTAAAGAATAGCTGTGTTTCACTTAATTTGGGATATCATGTTTCATTTTACAATCGTTTTCCTCAACCCCCGAACTGATTTGCCTTTCCTGCAATGCTAAATTCTTGAAGATTCTCTTGTTACCATGGGTGATTCTTTTTTCCTTACACAGACACAGTACCTGTTACTTGTATTCTTGTATTTTCTGTACATTTACATGACTCCGTACAGCGTAAGATGATAACACAGTATTTCTAATCTGTTCGACTGCTTTCCATGTTAAAAATTGCCTATCTGAAATCCAGATTCAAGAAAGATCCGTCCTACTGCAAAATTACAAAGCTTCAAACCGTAAATAAAAAAGAACGTTTCTTTCGATATTAACAATTTACCATATAAGAAATAATTACCCTAACTTTTGGCATGGTTTCAATCTCCAGTTATGTTCCTTTTCGGTACAATCGCGATGAGTACGATAAATGAACAAAGTATTTAGAAGAATACTAACCTTCAAGAAGTCAATTCAAAAAATTCAACAAAATACCCGGTACTATAAAAAAAAATGGAATAATTCTATTTGTAAATACCTATGGTAGTTTCATCATAATTGTAACATCTGACCATTTATTGATAAACTCCCTTTTTCAACATCAATTTAAAAACTTGAGATATTTTTAAAGGGGATGTACCCTTGATATGAGATATCAAATGCATCTCGGGGTTATGTTTTTATGCTTTTGTTCGATAATATGAATTAGAATATGACGTTAATTTCTGCGAAAAACCATGTGAGCTTAAAAAGTACGCGGAGCTGTACATGTATATTACAAACATCTACAAATCATAACAACATAGTAATACCATTTGGAACTGTTTAATATTTCATGACTTTAAAGTAAGACTAGATAGAGGTTTATCTGCTGCATAATCTTTATGTTTTAAACGATAATTTTGCTATCGAGTTTCCGCCACTAATGTAACCAAATGCTCTGCTTGTTTATAAAAAAATTATTATTATTTCATATTTTCACTATTTTAACAATGTTTCCACATAGATGACTTACAAAGCTTTAATTTATCATTTATTCATTTTACACCAAATGCGACAACCGCACTGTACATTTATTGCATCAATAGTCGCAAGTTATTTACAATAGAGATTTAATTACTGTCTCATGAGAAAAATTAAACAACTGATTCAGGTACGAAACGCATAATTATCTTAAATTCCATATACTGATTATTATTGAAGTTCTCTATTCACACAATTTTGTGACACTGTAACCAGAATCTATGAAAACTAGAAAATTTAAATTCATTATCATGAAATTTTATCGAGTATCACCTACCTAATGAATAGTCTTTGTTGGTAGAATGTCCTTGGTTATAAATTCTTGAAAACCCAGATTTATGAAAATTTTATATTTTGACAAGTTTAACTTAAACAATTATTGAATGTCATTTTCATCTGGTCTTTTCAAAAGATATAGTTTGAAAATAAATTTTAAAAAAATGGGAATTCTTTTTCCTTCGTCTCTGAAAATTTTAAATGTCAAGGACTTCATACTCACTGAAAACTACATCTGCAACTTTGTAGGAATCTAGATAACCGAAATTCGAATGTTTTTTTTCTTGGTTGTGATTTTACAGGAAATCAAAACAAAACAAAACAACAATGTTCACAAGATCAGGGAATCAAAATATTTGCGTTTCAACCACGGAAAATCACATGTAAAAATGTGCTTTAATGGCAACCATGTTTTGACGAGTATTGTAGTGAGACTAGTAAATTGTTACAATCCCTGCATACTGAAAAAATATTGAGACAAAATCGTAAATCACAGAGCTGAACGGCTGAAATGAAATGTTGACATGTTTTCTCAAAATCTTAACAGTGCAAGTGGTTTTGTTAGTGCTAATAGATCTTCTGGGAAAACTTTCTAATGCCTTTAAGAAAAAGCAATTTTCTCATTCACTCAAAGGAAATATTAAGTCGATGTTGTAAATGCATGAAATCATGAAAAGATTTACATAAAATATTAAACGAAGTCGATGGATGTTGTATCAACATTGACAAATGGTGTTAAATCATTTCCAACGCCTTTTCTCTAATATGAGAGAAGATTTACAAATCGAGACCATTTTATGCTGACATATTACCCATGTGGATAAAGAATCAATAAAGCCGAAGGATTAATATAGAAATTATATCGTTTTTCTTTAATATTTTACGTTATATTGAAATATTTTTTTTAAAGAAAATAAAATGACACATACATATTATAATGTGTATTTTGTTTTCATCGCTTAAAAAAGTAACTTGTCAGACAATTTTCCCCCGGTAGCTGAAACAAACTTTTCTGCACAATCCTAGCAATAACTAGATGGATATTCACGAAATGTCATCCAAGTCGCATTCTAAATGAAATTTACAGATCCCGGCGTCTGAACAGGCAGAAAAACCCCACTTCATTAATCCAATTATATCGATGACCCCTCGAGCCATCAAATCAATTATTACCTTGTATCACAACATATACTGTTTCAGGGAATTCATTTCTGATTTCTGTCTGTCTTCGTGGACACATTAGTTTGATTTGGACATTTGGCCTGTAGGAAATCTCAAGAGTGTAAAATCTCGTGTTTATAGCCAATCAGATCGGATTGGAGTAGTCTCGGCGGAGCAGCTTGTTTGATGTCGGATAATATTGTTTTCAAGGGCAGATTGATAATGCAAGATTACGGTTAATAAGGACTCGATTAGAAGCACCTAATACATATTCTGAATAAAAGGACTCATTGATCTTAGTTCACATAGGCTTTTTACTCCCATGTCTAACTTACTGCAAAATTCTGACAATTCTGTCAAATGATCCCCATCTCGATAGCACCACTATCATGTATTTCTCTTCTAACAAAAGTTCCCTTTTCATTGGTCAATTCTGATGATAGAAATTTCTTTCTTTTTTCATTAATTCTTATTTCTCGAAAGAGAATCCCCTATTCTAAAAATATAAATACCTTTAATGATAACACCACGATCATATATTAAGAACTTTTTATTAAAAATCATACAGGAATATAAAAATCAAAAAGATGATATTGTGCAAATGACAAATTACTTGCGACTGACTTTATTCTTTGTAATGTACAATTGGACGCATGATCTACCCAACAACAGGTGGTTTAGCGGTGTCATATATAATAAGTCCTTTAGGAACACACTGTAGAACAGGCTGGTTCCACACCTTATGTTCTGGGCACGTCTTCTCAAAAGCATCACCAAAATCATCGCAGTGGATGTACTTGGTTGGTTCGTTGGCAATGGCATAAAAATATAGCCCAGGAACAGTATTACAAGGGTTGGCAGCATTAGTGTGATAAGACTCTGTGGTTGGAGTTGGATTAAGAATGACTACATCTCGATAGAGGCAGGTAAGATATTTTTGCGACCAGTAGTGATGTTCAGGGCAAAGTTTGACGGACGCGACGTATGGTAAGTTGTAGCATTCGATATAAGCTTGGTCGTTGCCTGGATATGGGAAGAACATATGTTGGTTGATGATGTTTTCGGGGGTGCATGGATTCTGGACAGTGCCTGGGCTGGGACTCGGACTGATTGTGACAGGGATTGGTGTGGTGGGTTTTTCTGTGGTAACAACCGCTTGAGTAACAACAGGGGTGGTGGTTGTTGTGGCAATATAAAGCTGTCCTGGGACACAGGTCTGGTAAGATGCAATGTACACGTCACCAAGAGGACATAATACAATGAATGTGTGGCCTTTGTCGTCACAGAAAATAAAACGATCGTTTCTTGTCGGATATGGGAATATTTGTATATGTCCAACGAGTGGCGAACATGGGCTGAAGAAATTAGCACCTACAAGATACAACTGATTATTGACGCTTAAATTCCCATAATGTATAATTGCACATATAATATTATTGTAATGGAAAAAAATAAATAAATCGCATAGCAAAGGGATTGGATTTTAAATTCTAATTCACGTGCACAGGGTGAATAGAGAATTGGATAACGTACCAGGTCCTTGGATTAAAAACGGACTCTTGAAGAGGGTTGTGGTGGAACAATTCTTGACAATGTCATTTTCAACACAAAGAGCTTGACTGTCTGTAAATAAAAGGACATTTGTCACTCTTTTTAGACGAATTAGATATACACGAACCTAGCTATGTAAAGAAAATGCTCATGGACCACTGTACTCATTTAGATTACACAGCCCTCTTTCTCTCCCCTCAAATACACTGATGTAACGATACCTTTTCCAAACTAAGCTGATGACATTATATATTAAAGACTGCATAGATGCCTTGCTTTCACATATCATAATCTTGTTACTCTTGGGAAAATACAAATACACACATATTTATTTATGTTAACTTAAACTTGACCCCAGAATCATAATTAGAAAAAAAAACCCATTGGAATTTGAATTGAATTTAAAGTTGTTCTGTAGAAGAGCATTTAGACTAAATTCCTACGTACATATATTTCTTTTCAAAACACTAAATCCTGGTTGGGGCCTTATTCTAATGCTGAAGTAATAATTTAAAAAAAAAATTAACAGTTGACACTTTATTACATGCCCAACACGAAAGTACTTAGTCTTGCGTATTTAGACTTGAACAAGCTTTAATATAAATTATGGTCGATGTGAAGTAAAAGGAAACACAATAATGAACATGTACATATGTCGGAAATGGTATCATAGATGATATAATTTCATAATTTCAAGTTTTTCTATTTTTAATCATGAAAATTTCTAAATATTGAAACTATTACTCATTCACTTCTTCACTTACCTGGCCTAATGTTGACCCCTTGTGTGACTTCAACATTGAAGTTACTTTTACATGATGCTGGAAGGTTGCTTACAAAAGCCAAGGAAATAGTGTTATTTCCCTTGATGTAGAATGTCATTGGTCTGGTAAAGGTAGTTATGCGCTGAAATTCATTTAGAACTGAACTGGCTTTGGCACTGGTTGATCCGTAAATCGTCACTGATCCTTCTCTAACACTTACCTAACATAAAATGCAAAGGTAATAAGCCATTACGATTTGGGATATTATAATTACATGTGTATAGTTTCAACTTTCCTGAATAAGTTTAATTCTTTCTCTGTAATATGTTAGTATTAAAAAGATTATAAACACATTTAATTCATCATGTTCATTGCATTCTTTAAAAATGTACGCACTTTGACTGAAGACCCGTCCTGGAGGTTGGGGAGAACTTCGACATTGAGGGGAGAACCACACGGGAAGGTGTATGCAATTGGACTGGGCGTCAGCACAACGGGGGCTATAAAGTGTTCAAATGGTATCTTAACATTAAAAAATCATTTAAATTTCAAAACGTCAACATTAACAATTTGTTCAATACTGATTTTTTTTTTAATGAAAAGGATATTTGTTTAAAAAAACGTTTTTTACAGATAAAATCAAGGTAAAATTGCCACCATATATGAGAAATTTATATATGTGATATACCTGTACATGAAACTTGTTCAATTTCTGCTGTCAGAGAGTCTAAATCATTGAAATTGTTGAGGAGTTCTACGTGGGTACAGGTCGGCTGACTTGCAATACCATTAAGTTCTGTCTGTAGGTGGAAGGTATGATAAATTTTTGCACTTATTCAGATGTACTACATTTGTAGCATCATTAACCAAACAAAATTTAAAGAGTAAAAAATTGGGTTAAAGTGAGCGAGAAGATGTTTCACTCTATTTTGTACAAACCGAATCCACTTGTGGTGTAACTCCAATAGTGAAAATAGTAATGCCGTTCTTTTTGGCATTTTCTGCAGCCGTCAATGTTTTAATTTTGTTCTCTGATCGTCCATCTGTGATCAATACAATAACCTATAGAAACAACATAAAATATAAAGGTTAAATCTTTATATATAGTTAAAATATAGTTAAATCGCATTATATGATGGTAACAAATATAATTATATGGACTTGTTTATGATATATATATTTCATTGTACTTTCAATTAGTAATTTCCAAGAAAGAAAAAAATAAATCACCGGTAAATTGAAGTTAAAGACTTGATGTACATGTCGAAACCTGAAGGATTTGTATTCAATGTTGATATAGGGAGTTATGGGAAGTCATACCTTTACTGACCCCAAACGTCCACCATCTGCCACCGGGAAAATGTTGTCCACTGCATACTGGATTGCTGCGTCTGTCTTGGTACCGCCGCCATTGAAACGAACTCCCGACACTGCCTTATCTACGGCGGCGTTCGAATCGTACGTATTCAGTTTGAACTCTTCTGTAACCGAAGTGCTGAGATAATGATAAAAAACAATAAGTCATTAAGAATGAAATGGAAGATATTCCTGAACGGCATATAGCTTTTATCAAATTTCAAGTAATTACCTGTATTTAATGAGGGAAACCCTAGTTTCGTTGAAACCAATGTTGAACTTATTGATAACATTTCTTACAAACATTGTAGTGTTTGTAAAGTCAAGTGATGATAAAGATGAGGAGGCATCGACAATAAAAGCTAAGTCCAGATTATCCTTCTGTGAGCAACCTGCAAGTCGACCAAATCATTTAGCATGGGGCAAAAGAAAGGTAACCGAGATTGAAACAGCACTATATCCGATATCGTAATTTTAAAAAAACGTGTTCTCTATACACCTTTCATTGTTATTCCCTTATAAATATTTCGATTTACGAATACTTAAGACAATAACTCCAATAAACCAGATGTTGAGGAGAGTGATCCAAAATATTGATATTTGACAGGTACTACAACTTACAACGATCCAACATTTAAAGTATTGCACCGCTTTCTTTCTTAATTTCTGGCGTTTACAAAATACTGTAAACGAACTTGTATTAGCGAACGAGAAAAATTCGCGAGTTTCGCGATCTTCTTTTACTCGCGAGTATTATCGTCGCTAACCAATTATACACCTTTGTATCTATGTAGAATGTTGGCTCAGTCGCGAAAATTAGTAGTCGCGGCTGGATTCTTAACTGAAGAATCGCGAATAAAAGATGTCGCGAATAAAAGTTGGTTTACAGTATTCGAAGAACATGCGCGCGAGGTATCCTTTCGTTATAAATTCACTACACGAGCAATTATTGCATAAAAAAATTAGTGGCTGTGATTAAGGGCAAAATATCATTTGTTGGATTTTGGCTTCGGGCAACATGTTTGTGTTATTAGGTCCATGTTGCCCTCATACTCCTTCAATTACTGTCTAATGTTCACTTTTAAGTATAACATAGTGTCTTATTTTCAACTTCTTTAAAAACAGTGCATATAATACTAGTATCTCACCCGTCTTCAAATCTTGGGCTCCTTTGTAGAACACATTGACTTCTTTTGTGGGTCTGGTTGTATTCTTCCAGAAGACGGACTGGTACTCTATACCAACAGGAATTCCTCCGGTTCCAGCCTGAATCGTTGCATACATGGCAGCTGCCAATCCTGAGAACAGTGGTTTTCTTAGATCCGCCCATGAAACATTGGACCAGTCGATGCCTAGTTTTTTCAGCATTTGCTTTTCATTGTTGAGTGTACTTGATATTTGTGTGAGTCTGAACTGAGCCTCGTCAACCTCAAGTAAAAAATACAAAAACCATGCTACAGTATCATTTACTCTTTTGTGTAAAATTTTGTTTCTCATGAAATTCGCAGCTTTTTATGAACAGTTTATTAAAAAAGATTAAAATAGTTCTATATCTTATCAATTCGCTGTTTTTATTGTATTATTTCTATTTTGTAATCAAAATATGAACAGTAAATTATTAATTTAAGCAAAGTATCCTCTCCGTCATATTAATTTCTATCTCCGATCTCTCGGATGATGGAAGTTTGAAATACGGATCTTTGTGCAGAGTTTAAAATTTTGATAACGGTATCGAGTCGTTGTCAACTTTGTCATTGGTTCAATCTCCAGATTCAAATCTGTTTAACTGAACATATATTGGTTTAAAATCTAAATAGATTTTACAAAGTTATTGTTTTAAAGCTTAATGTTTCAAATGAATTTACAGTTCTTTAAGCTACTTTGTGAGAGATAATATAACACAACATTACCTGCCAGATTCCTCCATTGTATCCTATTCTATAAGTATTTGGATTGAGTCCGTCTTGTGTCTCCACATAGGCGAGTCTTCTCAAATACATTCGATCATTTGGGAAAATGCAAGAATTTTTTATTAAATTAACTACTGCCTCAACAACATCTGAACCTTTTGCGCCAGGAGTACGCGTTTTGTCGGTGAATTGTCCAAAAATACCTAAAACTGACACACTCAATAATATAACTAGAGTCCTCATTTTGTTTAGTTTTTATTTCATGCACAGCGTAGTGGAATAAGTTTTCACCATGGGAAACTGAGCCAAAGCTGTTAGATACGAACAACTCAGCATTAAATACTCTTGAAGGAGGGTATTAATACGTTATCAATTGTCAAACAAAGATCTATTACAAAAATTGATAATTTCATTTTCACTAGGCACAGCCCAAAAGTAAATAACAACACCTTGGTGTGCGCCAGAGAAATCCACTGCAACCACCTTAGTTTATGGTATTCTCATTCGGCAGTTCACTATCGTATCTATATAAATGTGTATTTATCTAATCTTGTTTAAATAAATATTGTTTCAAAAATGACTCCAAAAAGTCTTTGATAATCCTTGTTCAGCTTACGTTAAACTTAAATGACATAATAAATTCAAAACTTAATGTTTGCAGTCCATCTACTTAGAAAACACTCACTTAGTTGTAACATATAACCAATTAAGACTGTGCATTAGTAATTTTGTAGTAAATAGTATCATGATAAATGAATACAGGAATTATCACAAGGATATTGCGTGGGTGTCAATGCTTCGAATCATAGATGTGTGGCCCGTCATTTTCTTTCAGAAAAAGAACTCTTCGAGAAAAAAAAAAAAAAAAAAAAAAACAGAAACAAGAAAAAAACAAACAAAAATAATTTCGATGTCAACTTTTGTAGATCATTTATTTAATTTAATAGCTTACATCTCAAAACATGTATACTGTATATATTAATGAAAGTCTTCATGAAAGTGTTCACGTTTTGCTGCAAAAATCCCCTCAATGGAATCTTTTATTTTCCAAAAGCTGAGCTAATAATCATTATACAGGACTGTGCCATTTCATGAAATATTTCACCAGATGGGCATGTTCTCATAAAGCCATTCCAAAACCCGTCACAGTGAATGAATTTGGACTTGTCAGTAGGATGAACAAAATATCTATCTCCTCGTGTATTTTTGCATGGATTTGGAATAGTTTTATCAAAAGTTTGAGTTTCTTCGTTAAAAACGAATTCATTCACACAATTCAATATATCAGGATTGAAAATTTTGTCTGATGGACATCGTACTGTTTTCTTAGAATTTATTCCCAAACATTGATAATATTCGTGTTCATCACATGCGGGGAAATACAAAATGCTATTCATGAAAGCATGTACTGTGCATGGGTTTTGGTGACAGTTTTGATTTGTTGTTGCTCGATGAGTTGTTGTTGATGCAGTATTCGTTGATATAACCTTTTGTAATGTTGTGGTAGTGGGAATGCGTTGTGTTGTTCCAACAGGTGTACTCGTAAAAGTCGTCTTTGGGGCGGGAATAGTGGTTGTCGCGGAGGCTGCGGGTGCTGTTCTCGAACCCACGATCACCGGGGGACCAGTGGTAAAAACTATTATGATGATAGGTTTCCTGGGCGTTGTGGAGTTTGTAGCTGGTACCAATGACGTAGACGGCACAATAGGAGTTGTTGCTGATTGGCTGATTGTAGTTGTCGTAGGGCAATGTGCCTCGCAGAGATTTGTGGCAGCGCAAAATATCTCCTTATGTGGACACTGAACTGTAAGAAGCTGGCCTTTAATATCACACATCAGGAATTTGGTTGGGTCATTGGGGTGTTGGGCGACTTTTATGTTCCCGACACAAATATTCGGGGTCGTCTGATCTACAAATGACACGATAACAAGAAAAATAGGAGTCTGAAACCTTGCTAGAATCACTTAGTGAAAAAAGTCAAAACGCAAATTTTGGTTTGTTATGCCCAGTCCAGAATAACTAAAGTTGTTTTAAGTGTTAGATTCAAGTGATTATGTCCGTTCCAATAGTACATGTTCTATAGTCGAAAGTTCGCAAAACGTTGATTATAAATTCTAAGAGAGTAGATCTATTCATATGCAATGTATGGAAATAATAAGTCGCTACATCATTTTAAATTCTCAAACACATACTTTTCCCTGACAGATATCCTGTTATACTGATATCCTGTTATACAAGTGACCTCTTGCATGATATAAGATTTGTCCCAAAATGAACAATTGTTTGTCAGAAATCCTCAATATGATATTGATATGCAATATCTCATTGAAAACCATCTTGGAAAAAATGATGTAACTATGAATTACACGTACATGTTTGTATCCAAGACTCTCAGTGGAAGACAAAGTGGTCACCTAATAATTTTGAGGTTTTTTTAAATTATGGTACACGAGATCATTTTTGAACTTGATCGTTTTTATGCTTAAAAGACTGTTTTTTTTCTGGGGGTTTTTATGTGCAAAATCATAGATTTTTAAAATACCTCTAAATATGGTCTCTTTTTTATGAGACAAGGTGGCAAAACGGTGCAGATGCTGGCAAGATGGAGAAAAATAATCACATAAAAAATAAGAATACAGGTTTGGTACTTTGATTCTTTATCTTTTTTCATACTTACATGTACTTGCTGTGGTTACAACAGGTGTGGAAGGTACTGCTGCTGTTGCAGGTACTGATATTGTGGAGGTTGCTGGGGTTGCAGAGGTAGCTGGGGTTGCGGATGTCGCTGGTGTTGAGTTCATTGTTACATTAGAACAATCTGTTTTGATCCCTCGCTCTACGCAAAAAGTTCCAGGCGCTACAATAAAGGTTGAAATTAGTTAGAATTATGCATAATCAAAATTTACTTCATGTATTTTGTCAAATTTAAATCAATGATATACATATATTAAATGAACTGTTGAGAATTTGTGCAGTATGCCATCTTTATATTCAACAGCAGGGCAGAATTTATCTAATATTTGTAAATTGCAATATCTACTGTTCAAATTGTTTTAAGGTGGTACCTACATACTGAGCTCGGTGGTCCCACATGAACATCAACTGTATAGTTATCCATACAATTCAATCCTAGAACACTTTTCAGACTGATGTAGTAACTGGGGTTGTTGTCATGGAGATACAAGGTCAGAGGACTGAGGTTATCTACTGTGGAGGCTAGGTCATTCTTAGCCGTGTTCGGTAGTCCAAACATGTACGAAGTATAAACTGTCCTTGATCCAGAGCCAACTGAAATCTGTATATAAAACAAAGAAGTGTGGGTACCTATCAAATTTATCGAAGTTTTCAGAAAAGAAAATAATACGTAATACCTATGATTAAAAACATTAAATATTTTACAATTGAACATGTATTACTTTTTTTTAATTTACTGAAAATGCTGATAAAAATAATAGGTACTCCCAACTCCTGTGATATACAAGATCCATTCTTTCAGTTTAAAAATCTTATATTAGCAACACGAGGTAGGTCAGTATTCATACACTACACATCATCGTTACATTTATTAACATGAAGTGTTTACTATGTTAACCATGCGCTGTTTTTTTTTTTCAATACATGTAACATTACCCCTTACATGCGGCTCTTCATTGAAATTATAACAACATGCAATTTAACTTTAAGTCATACTTCAAAAATTTTGGTGCAGTGTTGTTTTTGAAGTACGAATTAGACTGTATTACTAGGTGACACAATCATTCAAAAGTTAACATGTACTTCAGAGTCTTGAAAACAAGTTGTAAGAAAACAAACCAAATGTTATGTAACATTGTAGAGACACTGTGCAAAATGTTAAAGGGTAAGCATATTCCTTGGTACTTGAACCAGGCTTATCTGATAAAAAGTCATGGACATGTTTGTATCATTCTTTACTAAGAGTCTTGAACGACTGTATTTTGGATTGGCCTTGTAAAGTTATTACGTGCAAGTTTCCTACATTTTTGAATTGCGTATTAATCTTGAGCTCTTACCTTAATCGTGGTACCGTAAGGATTGTCAGGTATGGAAAGTAAGGCATCCACATTGCATGGATGGGTAAATCTTCCATTTGACAATTTGACTGGCGCTAAATGCATACCAAACTTATGAAGATTTGGTCTTTATAATAGCTGGATAATGAACAAATAACTTAATCATGGAGAGTAATTTGGTTAAGAATTAAAACAGTTTAAGAAAAGTTTTCTTGTTGATCTATAAATGTTTACTTTCTACAAGTAGTACGGTTTTCGAAATTTTCTAAATATATATTTGTCAAATAATTACCTCGACATATAACTTCATCCATTTCAGCAGCAAAGTCTTGCAAATCCAAGAAATTGTCTATGTGAGTATAATGAACACAGTTAGGTTGGCTGCTGATGTTAACCAGATCATTTGAATTAAGGGCTGAACCAATTGCGATGGTGAATAGCGTTACATCACTTCCGGTTAGGATAGAGGACTCGATTTCGGTTTCCGTCTTGTTGTCTGGCGGACTTTTGGTAATGAGGATCGCTACTTGTGCAGCACCAGCTCTGGCACCATTTTTGGCCACGAATACTTCTTCTCTCGTTAGTTTTAAGGCTTTATTTGTAGCAACCAATCCCCCGCTCAAAGGCATGGAATCAATGTTAGAAACCACGTCTATTTTGTTTGAGTAGGCATTCAAATGAAATAAAATGTTTGCCTGACTTCCATATGTAACCATAGCAAGTTGAACCTTCGAACTAGAAACAACTAAACCGTTTACGATCCTGTTGATGAAGTCTTTTGTCTGTCTCAGCTCTGCGGATTTAACATTAGTAGACGTCTCAACAATGAAGGTAAGATCTACTTGTGTAGGGACGCTGCAACCTGCGGAAAAAAATATATCTCAGAAAATTATATTGTACATGTAATATCAACAATCAAACTAGCAATTTGAGAGTACTGAAAATGCAATACCGAGTTCCCTACTGGGTGCATAGTATATATATATATATATATATATATATATATATATATATATATATATATATATATATATATATATATATATATATATATATATATATATCCCCTTAAAAATTAAGGCAGGAAAAAATATCATTATGGATATCTACAGAAGGTCGTGAGTTAAGGTAACCCACATACATGTACCAAAAATTAGTTCAACATCTGCAAGCATCTCAAAAAAAAAAAAAATGTTCAACTAACTGACCGACTGACCGAGTACAAAACTGTAGTCACCCCCGGTATTCGCCGGAAGTTAATCAGACTGTGTAATCTTTGAAAATACGCATTAGAAATAAAAATAGTTATAATTACCTTCAGGCATTGCCTGCATTGCTGTTAGAAAAGCTTGTTCGTTTCCATTTGTTCGAAAGTACTTCTTCCAAAATTTTGCTTGGTCTGGTTTTGAAAGGGGCATAGTTTCGTTGGTTTTTGCTCTGAGATAAATTGCAGCAGCAAGTCCGGAATATAAGGGTTTATTCAATTCTTTCCATGTTATTCCTTTCCATACCACAAACAGGGTTCTGAACACCTCTTTGTAAATGTTTTGCAAATTGGGCGTTCCCGACTGGGTATAGTTAAACATTTCCTCATCCACCTATATATAAATCAGAGCTATATTGACACCTCGTTATGTACAAAAATACTCAAAGACATATATTTCTACTAAGAAATATATAAAATAGTTAGTACACGAAGGCTTTATTATTGCTAAAACACATACTAGTATTTATAACGAAGTTTTCCTGTCAAGCCACACTTATTTTTGCACTCTCCCCAAATCTATACTTCTATATCTACGCGTATATTGAAATTTAAAATCATGAGAAAAATTTATTTCCCCTAAAAACACATAAAATTTAGCCTTACTTTTATTTTGAAACAAATCAGTTTGAGTCTAAACACAACAAGTTATAAGTAGCTATAGTAAAATACTACTTTCTCCCGATTTTGAATATCCTATGACCTTAAAGTGATGTGGTCCGAAACTACTGATAGAACCAAATAGCTCACACAAATGCATTTCTTTTTTCATGTAAGCCAAATTTATTTCGATTCCTGATGGTTACGGAATTTAGAACCTCAGATCTCAATGAATCATTGGAAAAGGAGAAATCAAATGAATTAAATAGAATTTTCTAGCTTTAAAAAGCATCAAAACCATATATATACGCTTGAACGGAATATTGTTCACAGAAATAAATTTCAGTTGTGAAAGAAAATTAAAAATGTTACAAGAGACACGAATAAAAACATGTTTTTCCAACATGTTTCACATATTCGTCGGTAGGTTTGCAAGTGTGATAATTCGAGTTCGTACGATAATAAATATTCATGAAAACTGTGTTTACGTATTTTGTTTGTGCGATGCGTAATTTTTCGGTATTAGTGTCAAAATTTAAATCAAAATTCTTTTGGAAAACATTTCTAACATACATGTACTTTAAATCTCATAATCCAGAGTACATGTAAAATAAATTACCGACCGCTTTTATTTTCCAGCATGGTATTTTGCTCTCAAAATTTAAATTCAATTTCTTAAAAAAAAAATGACTGTCAATCATTCAGTGTGATGCGAAAGGTTTTTCGTATGGTTTACCTTCCAGATACCACCGTGGTCCCCCGGCAGAATAGCAAGGCCATCATTAGTCTCAAAAGAGGCAATTCGTCGAAGAAATAAGTGGTCATTAATTAAACATGCATCACGGAGTAGTTTGACTGTTGTTTCAACAACCAAAGGTCCATAACTATCTGCGACTCTGGTTAAATCAGTCTGAGCTTTTGCAGAAAGTGTCCAGAGGATACACACTGCACATAACCGTAATGCGTTATTCATTGTCTCTTTTCTCAGATTTGCTTTTACCAAACCTTAGGCACTCCAATCACTTTGATAACTTAACAGACATTGTGTAGGTGCGATTTGACCTCGACTTGACCTTGCAAGACTAGGTGCAACCTGTCTTTATTTCATTTATAAAAAGACATAAAATCCAATTAACCAGTTTTAAATAATATTCAATTCACAATTATCAGTTTGCATGTTAACTCGAAATTAAAGATAAAATCTCTTAAATGATTAGACACACGTCCAATATTATTCCATGCGGACATGTATTTGAGGCGTCTCATATAGTATTCTAGAAACACTATACATTGTTCGATATGTGTCTCGTTATCTGTAACATGTATGACGTGGCGGTAATTTACATGAAGTGGCTTCAAGAAAAAAAGATTTTTGAATAAAATTTACAGTGCATCCTAATTTCTCAGTTACTTTATTTCAAATAAAATTATATTTTTCGAAAAATTAAAACAAAAACCATTGTCAGTTTATCAGATACTAGATTACGAAGAGCGACTGGGAGTGTAGGAGTGAAGTTGTGGTAGAAGGTTGTTGTCCTAAATGGAGGGAAGGGGGATGAAAAGTCTGTGTCATATTTATCTCTATTCCACGTGTTTGGTATAATGTTCCTTATTAGCAGTCGTCTCCCATTTTCATCATTTTATCTCTATGCCGGATATTCTGGGTTTGCTCTTTGACAGCTGTTTGATCAATACAGAGTGTCATTGTGCCCTGGGGACTATTACAAAAGTCTTCCAGAAAAGAAAGAGTATATTTTGTCACTAAATAGGCACGTAGCATCGGGCAGCCCCCCCCCCCGCCCACTTTTTTTCCAAACATAACTTTCTACTATTGAAAATGTTCATTGAAGACCAGTTGGCCCCTCACTATTTGATGAATAAGGGGAATGTAGTAATGTATGGATAAAATTTAGTACTGAAAGAAGTTGGAACCTAACCACCCTCACCCCCATGGCCGTAGGAACCGGGGGCACGGGGGGGGGGCGCCCCCCCCCCAATAATTTTGCCGATATATAGACTACTATAGAAAATATAGCTGTACTACTAGCTTGTGTCCCCTCAATAAAACGTGTGATGACCTTTTTTTTGCTTGTCAAGGAATATTTGGTAGTTGATAGTGCCCCCCAACTGAAAATGTATGGCTGTGCCCCCTCCCCCCCCAAACTAAACTTGCTCCCTACGGGTCTACCCCCACCCCAAACGCAAAGGGATTTTCGAGTTTGGAAATTTTCCTTTTTTTTTTTTTGGCTTGTCAAGTCTTTCAGAAAAGTTAAAATCCCCCCTCCCCACTTTCAAAAACGATGCTACGTGCCTGATAAATGAATAATGAAATAGATAAGAACAAATTGGGTGTTTTCTACATATGCATTTATTTTTACACATTGCAGCATGGGGAAAAAATTGACATGTTAATCGAAAGTTTTTACGTCCGAATTAATTAAAGGTTGAGGAGCATGGCTTCCGGTTGCACTAAGAAGGTCGATACCATTCTAGTAATGTTTAATAGAATTAAAAAGGCCAAGTCTCTGGCAGGTAAGTCACAAACAATATTACAAGAAACAATATATAACTCTATCATAACTAAATTAATTAATTCACTGTTTTTTTTACTTAGCCAGAATTTTCTCTATTGCAATATCGTTAAAAAAATAATAAACCCGAAGAAAAGTGAAGAAATTTGACTTTTATTTATTTCTTTTGGTTTAATTGGATTTATTCGATAAAAAAATGGACTTTGTAAAAACAAGGTAGACAGAGATGAGTAAACAGTAATAATGAATTATCTCGAAACCTGTCCTGTGCCTATCGCACTGAAAGAAAGATAACTCTGTTACGGCATGCTAATTATTTTTAGGAGCCTACATCCCTCATCTGTGTCCCCAGAGAAAGTACAAGACAGATACAAAGGCTAAGGTAGTTCTCCCCCGACCACTCCGAATTGAGAGGATATATGAGGAAAAAGTATTTAAAAACCAAACAGAGAAGCCTTTGGCAAAAGAAGTGGAGCTGGTTGATTACAAACCAATGGAAAATGAGTATAAACGTGGGTATATTTTCAAGCTTTATGGGTATCATAAAGTTCTGGGATCTTTAATATTTCAGAAATGAAATATTGTGTATGTAAGTATTTCAGATTCCTGCTTTGCGGTTTATAAAGCGTAAACTGTCTCAACCCACTTTATACTGTATAAATTGGGTAGCTATTAAATTTATTCCTTAATTAGAAGACATTTGTTTTTGATTGAACATATTATATTCAAAAAAACAAAGTTTACAAATCACAAAAATAATTCTTAAAATTGATATACATACAATATTGTGTTCTCTTCACAAACAAGTCAGATGTTTTTCACACTAGGGTCCTTAAAATATATCATTCCTCTTGATTTTGATATATTTCTAAGTTTTCTGTTATTTTGGTCAAATCTAAATGTATCAAAAATTCTTTTTAGGCTTAAGAAAAAATATGAATATTTTAAATTAAAAAACTGAAATAAAGATTTGCATGTTCAGTGATGTATTGTGAAAATGGCTTGCAACAAAACACAAGATTTTGATGGTGTAAAATGAATTGCTAAATAATTTGTTATCAAGTTCTAAATTTTACAATATTGAATATTCTGTTTATTATTGATATTTACAATATCTGACCAGGATCACATATATGGCTTTTCTATGTGGCAAGTCTAAATCCAGAAAAAAAGTCTAGGGGCATTGGGCTTCATTGATTGATTGTATGTTGTTTTATGTACCATTTGAGAATTTTTCACTCCTATAGAGATATCACCATATACCAGTTAAAGCTTCAAATTAAGAACTTTTCTGGGCACTCAGGGCCACTGTGGGTTCTTTAGCATGCCAATGCCTACCTTGACAGGACCTTGGTTTTTAAGGTCTCATATTCAAAAGACTCTCACTTCTAATTCCGGGGGCGTGATGAAGGAACAGTCACTACATATGTATACATCTTAGATTTGATGTGGTGTGGTGAATGAGAATCAAACTTGGGCTTCCCAATTATGAAGTGAGTGTCCTACCACTAGGCTACTGTGACCAGTGAATTGGGTTGGGCTTGAAGTATTTTGAACCCCTGTGCAAATACTGTCCGTGTACAAAAATTGACATATTCAAAATTAAGCGCAATCACTTGGTATTGAGTGATTGGCGTAATCATGAATTAGCATTACACATGTCCTCGCTATGTATTGTATTTATTTATGATTTATTAATGGGATTCATGAATTAGCACATTGCTGTCTGCACCAAAGCAGCTGAAATATGAAGCCTGCTTTTTCAAGTACACATACAGTATATAAAGTCTAATGAGTAATGACTCATAATATGAAGAAACTGTTATCATTTGCAAAGCAATGCACTACAAATACATTTATTATTGTTAAGACTTTAGTGTGAAGACTCTTACATTTCCTGATGTTTACTTGTAAGACTTTCATGAGCCAGCCACCTAGTAACTTGTAGTGAAGCCATTAATCTTTTATATTATCAACACTACATGTGGTGAGTGAGAGTAACCACCCCCCCACCCCCCCCAAAAAAAAACCAATGATGACAAAAATGCAGTTATTAGAAAGAAAAAAGGGCTTTTGACAAAGTTTTGTTTTTAATTAACTATGTTATATTATACACCTGGCTATGAGGACAATAGCAAGTTTATCGTTCCCCAAGACAGCAACTATTTCCCGAGGCGCAGCTGAGGGAAATAGTTGCTGTTGAGGGGGACGATAAACTTGCTATTGTCCGAATAGTCAGTAAATAGGTGTTTTATTATACTGAAGCAGTTTTTACTTGTGTTACGTCACAATCTTGATAAAACCAGAAGAGTTCCGAGATGAAAAGCGAGGAAAACAGAATGCTGTCGGTGAATAGTTTAATGACTATTTCACCATGGGCAAATAGCACAAAAACTATTCGACAGTAGGAGCTGTTTGGAAAAAATAGCATGTTTATTCATCAAATTTTTATATAGAAAAAATTCACAGAGGTATAATAATATTTAACTGTTACTGTACATTAAATTGCAGTTAATGACTATTTTGCAGGTCTCCTAGGGGATACATTTGAAGATAATGCTTTGCAGCATCCAGATTTTTTTCAAGTCAAAGAAATGGTAGACATGCAAACACTTTACAGAAACAGGGTGCATTATGGTCATCACTTCGGATGTAGACATCCATATATGGTGTCCTTTCTCTATGGACTCCGGCACAATACAGATATATTTGATCTGGACAGAACTTTACCACGTTTACACTTGGCCTTAAATTTTATAGCTCATGTGGTGTACAGAGGAGGCATTGTATTATTTGTTTCCAGAAATGCTCAGCACATGCCTCTTGTGGAAAAAACAGCTCGCAATGCTGGTGAATATTCCCACTGCCGCTTCTGGAAATCAGGTCTTCTGACCAATATTGACAGACTTTTCAGTAATCTAACCAGGCACCCTGATGTTGTTATCTTTCTTCATACACAGAATAGTATTGGAAGTGATCATATAGCTGTCACAGAATGTGCCAAAATGCTTATACCCACTGTAGGTGTTGTGGACTCTAATTGTAACCCTACCTTTATTACATATCCCATTCCTGGGAATGATGATTCCCCAGACGCTGTGAAACTCTACTGTAAACTGTTTGAACAGACTATTTTACGTGCAAAAGAACACAGAAAAAGGGACGTTCAAAAATAGTGCTAAGTAAAAGAACTGTATAATGTAAGGCCAAAAAAAATAATAGTCTTGATTCCTGCTACCAGCCCGAAAAAAATAGGGTAGGTAGGTAGTTTTTTGAAGGAAAATTATTTTATTTTATATTTTTATTTTATTTTTTTCCGACCACATTTTTTGGGTATGAACTAATACAAGATAAAATAAAACATGTCGCAGGTCATTATTGTCTTTTAAAATTAAATTTCATGTCTTTTTATGCAAAACTCAAGTGGTATTTTATGAAAGTTCACATTTAAAACAAGAATTTCATGAAATGCTTGTTTTGTGTTTACACGAAAACCAATTACAGTGATAGAAAGATGAAATTCTGGAAATTCCCGATTTTTTTTCTTCCTAAACTTAAAAAAAACCCTTTAGGGTCGGGTGCAAAAAAATAGGGTAGGTCAGGTAGCAGGAAACAAGACTATTATTTTTTTTGGCCTAAGGTACATTTTTGTGTATAAATCTGTAAACTTGTCATATGTAAGTATTTGAAGTACCTGTGAACAAATCTGTAAAGTTATTATGTGTAAGTATTTAAAGTATCCATTCTATTAAGCTTTTGGAAAATAAATGAGAGTAAACTCCCTTAGAAAAGCTAAAAATACAAAATGAACGTTTTTTCTTTAAACATTCTATTCAACGGCTGTAATAATGGAATTCCTGTAAAAAAAAAAAAAAAAAACCATGTTGTTTATTGTGGTATAAATGTGTCAATTGTTATAGTAGTAAAACAATTTTTGTATTGAGATCTGATGCTAAAAGATGGACATGTTCTGCATTCAGAAGTCTATACTACTGGACTTGTAACACTTAGTGTGTTATATTTATCTCATCTGATGTAAAATACCCATGGGGAATTTCCTAATCCATTCATGAAATGCATATTGTGTGTCCATCTTTAAAATACTTAATTCTCTTCATGCATTTCTGCACATAAGATGGCATCTGTTCATCTGTTCACCTATTAACTTTTTCACATCACACAACCCAATTCTATGCTATTCTAAAGAAAGTTGCAGGCCCATTGCAAAAATTTGAAAAAGGGGGGGGGGCTCCAAAAAAATTGACAAAAAACCCCGAAAACTCTCAGAACTCTCTCCCCCTTTTTAGGTGGTGGTGGGGTGTTAGGACTTCTCTCTAACTTTTCGGTACATTTTCTTTCCAAATACTATAATTTGCCAGTGTTTGACCTTACAGCAATAAAAAAAAAATGGGGGAAGGGGGGGGGGGGAGTAACCAGCTTTTAAATAAAAATTTTTATATGCAGGACCTCCGGGCCTGAGTTTCAGGTTTATGCTTTTGGAAGGGGTCCATTCCTTAGTAAGTAAAGTATCTACCTGGACCTTACATGGACATGGTTTCAGATCATCAGATGCAGGATCTGATCTACGTACGCATTTTTCAGATTTTTGAACTTGTAAAAGTTCTCAAAGCAGATTCATTTGAACATAATTCTGTCTCACCTGGTTCAGACGATGAATTTTGCATCTAAGGATATACATCAATTTACAAGTCATGCTCCCAATGCTGCATCTGCCAAATTTTCTGGATGAGTGAATGAATTATTAAAAGTTTTTGGAGCAAGTGCATACCCAACTAACTAAAGGTCCTGTTCTGACCAAACTTCCATTGATGATACATATAGGGATGCTCTCTGCCATATTGCCTAGATGCTGCATCTGACCTAGCAATTTTCCAGGTTAGATAGAGAATAGCTCAAAGTTTATTGAGCTGATCCATTCCCAAGATATTGAAGACTTGCCTTAACCAGACTGGCATGGATGAGGTTTCTATGGATACACACTATCAGACCAGACCTGCTTCAGATGTTGCATCTGACTCATATTTGTTTTAAGTGACCATGTTTAAGTTTTTTAACCATGAGTCCATTTTTTAAATTCGTTTGTACGATTTAGAAAGTCGTTTACACGATTTTGAAAATTATGTGTGTAATTTTAAAAATTGTCTGTACAATTTCAAGTCGATCGTAACTATAAACACGAATGCCGTCAATCGCTTCTTTTCAAGGTAAATGAATAATTTACGTTCCTGATTCTACAGACAAGACAGAAGGATGCATGGCGGCAAAATATAAAATCACATCAGGGGAACTGAATTTTATTATTGAAAGCGTTAAAAACTTCCCCACGAATTGAAATTGATTAAATAAAAAAAATGGCATCTACAGTTGAAAAAGAAGGGGAAATAAAATGCACCCAAAAGATACATATAATATAAGACCTATATTGGATATTATTTAATAAAAACAACATGCTATGGCAACATGAAAGTTTTCCGTCCTTTCTCAGTCACCAGAGAAGTTTTGCTTCTACGTGTATTACTACATGTACGTGTATAACTACTTGTATTACTACTTGTATAGCTACTTGTATTACTACGTGTATTACAGCAGTGCAGTTCTGTAACTGGCGTAAATTGATGAAAATAAAATGAATACTTTGTAGTGTTTAAGAGATTAGATGCAAACTTGGGTCCAACGTTTTCGGAAATTCGAAGTAGAAATTTTAATTCCGTTTTAATCATATCAACAATCTGGTATTACATGGTCGTAGGAACCACGGGGGGGGGGGGCGCAATAATTTTGCCGACATATAGATTACTATAGAAAACATAGCTACTTTATGCTTGTGCCCCCTCAATAAAAACGTCTGATGACCTTTTTATGACGTCGAGCTCTTGGAGCTCGAACGTCATCTAGCAAGCGCCCAGTTGAAATCGTGACCGGATATGTACGCGACCGAATGTGTCAGTCGATGCATCCGCAATAGAAAGTAGCAATAGCTATAAACCAATTTCTTTGAAAACGCTCAAAATGAATAATAGCTTGAAAATAAAACTGCATCAATTATATCTGCAATTAATTCTATTGCAAAACAACAATATTATGTTTTATTCTCACACAAGAAAAACGTGATGGTTGTTGCGGATGAATTTCTACAGAAAGGGTGCGTTGAATGACATGAATAACATTTCGGAACGATAACCGTGTAACATAGACAACACAACAGGAGGTAAAATAATTACAAAATTACATAAACACGCATACTACAAGACGGAAAAGATTGAATTTCTAAATCTTAGCTTTACTTATACAATCTTCTAACCAACTCTATCCTGAAAACCGATGATATTGACCAGTATTGCTGTATTTCTCCATTTCCTCAATTTCCCGGTATACCGTATACCACGCCCGATCGTAACTCGATCGTAATTGTAACAGAACAGAGTCTTGGTTGTAGTTTAGATGCAATCACTAATATTGACATTGGCAATTAGAAAAAAATATTATATAAATTCATGAAATCCTTCATAGTTCTTCAACTGACTGAAAAGACATGAACATATTCGACGGTGTCTGGTCAATTCGAACCCTGCTCCATTCGGACCATGACATAAGGCCCCAGACTGTAATTTTGATATTTTGTTTAAACTATTTTTTTATTACGTTTCCTGAGTCACTCACTTGACTTATTGCTATCTTCAAATTCAAAATGATCTTTTGAAATTGTTTTTCTTCTTCGACGTCATTGAAGCCTTTCAGGCTTTTGATTTTGTCAAGGAATTTTTGGTATTTGATAGTGCCCCCCCCCCCTCACAACTGAAAATGTATGGCTGTACCCCCCCCCCCCCAACTGAAATTGCTTCCTACGGGCCTGTAATACATTTAAGTCTTGTTAGAAGGACCCCTACTTACCCTTTGAATATTACAGGAAAATAAAGGAGGACAAAAAAGTTGGGGGAAAAAACGATTTTTTAAAAATTTACTTCCTGTAACGACCAGAAGTATCAGTGTATTTCTATTTCGTCTTAACTGTGAAATATAGGTAAGAAAATATGAAAAACTTCTAAGGTGAAGTGGGAATTTGATTATTCCTTTGTAAAAGCAATAACTGTAAATTAATTAGATGTTTGTTTTACCGATAAGTTAATTACACAGTTAAAAAAGAAATATGATGGATGTAAAATGAAAAAAAATAGTAATATGTAAATATTATCATTGGCCTTTAGAGTCATTGTACAATTAAAAAATAAGAAAATTGCAAAAATTATTCATGAAAATGTGAATTATTTTATGGATGTAGTGTCTCAGAAAATACTAAGATCCGATTCTCAGCCAGGATGGATAACTCTTAAAGGAGATGGGTGAAGAAGGCGTGCAGAATGCCTTTAGCTTTAGATATGTAAAAATCTTATTAAATTCGTGAATTTAGCATTTAGAGTAAAGTTCTCATTATTGAAATTTATGAAATTATGATAAACAAAAGTTTTTTGAGGAAATTTTTTTCGGCAAAAATTATTTTTTTATTAAAAACTGCTGTGGTATTCGTGGGATTCAAACCCTAGCAATAAAAATCCTGAGTATCTTTTTCCTTTGATCGAGACTAACGCGCTAACCACTACGCTCCTGATGAAATCATGTTTGTGATATGACCCTTGACTAAATGGACTTCAAGTATTTCTCTGAAATATGCGAATGTTGTGTCATAAAAGTATTTTTAAGGTATAGTGGGTCCATGTTTTTGTTAACCAATAAATGTATAAATGTATATTTGTACGCAAACTTTGAGGATAAACTTTCAAAAATATGGAGCAAAGACCCACTCATATCGAAAAATTGTGTTATAGTATGAGAAAATGATCCTTTTTGCCCTCTTTAGTGTGTGTATGCTATTTCATAGACAATTCTATCTATGTGAGATTTTTGCAGATTGTGGAGATTTTACATAACGTATACTTCAATGTTAGATTAAATAACAAAGAAAATTTAGTTATAATCGAGATTTAATCTTTCATCTTCATGTTTGTAGCACTGTAGGCACTTCGCCTGCCTTGTTCGCCCATCTTTATTATTTTAAAAAAAGTCTCAAAAATGAAGCTTAAAATTGAGATCTTTTCGTGCAACAATTTTCATTTTATGCATCTTAATATGATTCAAGGTTCTTTGAAGTCTTAGAAACGGTCTTGTATTTGTACATTTATACCCCGTAAAAGAAAAAAAAATGAATTCATTGTTAGAGAAATCGAATTTCGTTTAGTCTAGCATTAGATACGACTGCTTATTAGCATGATATGAAATAACTTATTTCATATCATGTAAGATGTGATATGTGATGTCTAGCAATGATAGCCCAAGCTTTTCACACTATGTATCATATGACGATTGAAGTAAAAAGAACTAAAATACTTTATACGCATAAAAAAGATGCAATTTTCTCCAAATGCCTATATACCTTTATTTTCCTATCCTAAATTTTATTTGTTGACCAATTATCAATTAGAAAAATGCTTAGCTGGTGTTTTTATTCGCATTTCTTGAAAATATGTTTGAGATTTGATAATTTTCCCTGTATAATATAATTAACTATAATGATGAACTTTGAAGAAATTCCATGGGTAAATTCACGTTACTATGTGAAATCAGAGACATTTTTGTGAGCATTTTCAGTTACTTAAGAGCTGATTTTCAGAATCTGAGGATCGGACTATCTTAAACGTTTCATGTAAATCTTGAGTGTATTAAGTCAGTATTCTACATTTTTTTATGCTTAGAGTCTATTGACTTCACTTTTTTCATCTATTTTTATTTTCAGCTAGGTTTTGTATCATTTTTGCATAATTTGTACAAAATCACTCATTTTCACTGTAAGCAAATAATTTGAAATCTCTGAAATCTTTGACATTTTGTTATGCAATGCAAACAATACTTATACGCATAATTACATGTATATGTTTGCACAAATTCCAATTTCGCCTTCATAAACCTTAGAAAGTGGGAATAACAAATTTTACAGTAGAGGCGAAATGGGAACAAACAGTATCTACAACGCCAAAAAAATGTTATTGTTGCACATCTACAGTCATGCTGCATGATCGGAAAAAAAAATCGTTTAAACGACTTAAGAAGTCGTGAAAAGGAGTTTTTTTTCTGCTTAGAAAGGGGGCGTTCACAATCCCCCGCTCTGAGACAACATATTTCTCAATTTTCAAAGTTCCTGGAAATGTTATATTTATTCAGAATTATGTTGTCATCTTCAACACATTTGATTCATTTATTTTATTGAATTACTTCTTGATTGATAATTGTTGTTTTTTTTTAAGTTGACAGTTAAGCATATTTAGTGGAAAATGGGCATATTAGAGCCCTGAATAAATTATTTTTTAATATGAATGGGTCAAGTATCCATTCTACATTAAGGGTTAAATGACGGAAAAGTAAAATGTAAATATAAAATCTCATTTATATTTCTAAAAACAAAAAAGAAAAGCTCATTCTATATGAAAATAAAATATTTCTATTTCTGAGAAAATATGTCAACAAAATTGTTTATTTAAAGCACGAGATAGTTCGATTCATGCGCGAGGCTCTTTTTAATTTTTCTTTCTTTCCACATACCTTAAAATATCATAAGTGAAAAATAATTTTCTATCAATAATTTTTTTGATAAAATAAAGGAAGCAAATGTGTAAAAGATTATATGGACAATACAATTTTTTTTGAAAAATATAACTTTTCATAAAGTTTCGGAATTGAGAGATGTCTTTTCTCGGATCGGGGGATTGTCCTCGCCTTGTACGCCTTTTGAATTGGCACTTACATGTAGGCCTATACGCAGTCGTAATTATGCCTATTACTTCTCGATCTAATCTATTTTATTATAAAGTAGGTCTATCCGCGTTTTTTTCTGTTTATATTTAGTAAAAAGGCCATTCCTAGTTTTTTTTCTATGTTTAGCGTCCGCGTGCGCCTTGGTGTTTGACACCCCATATCAGAAAAAAACTTGGAATGGCCTTCTACTGTACATGCAGAATAAATCTACATTTGTGAATCCTTTAATCATTTATTATATACAGGGTATTTTCATATGAATAAACTTTAATACTGTTCCATGTAGTGAAAGACACAGTCATTATAAAGGAGAAAAAAAACACTCGTTGTCACGTAATATACGTAGGTAAGTTTATTTTCTGAAAGAGGTTTTGACACTTCCGTCCCTATTCCATAGATGGGACTGGTAATCACTCCAGAGAGCCAGATTTTTCCAACTGTAAAATCGGTAATCCACGTACGAGTCACTTTTATAGAAGCGGCCTCGCTTTGCTCTACTAGATAGAGTCTCTGCTCTCATTCGATTGACGATGCTAGGAAGCTTTGTGAACGACAGTTTCTGGTGAATGACAAACTGAGATGGGTATCCACCGGAAGTATCTTGTCTACCATTAAAGATGATTTTTGCACCTCCGTTTGACGTGACAACTTTGTTCTGAGCTACCTGAGGGGGCGTGGTTTGCACATTCGGAATAGATGGCGCTTTTGCTACTGTGGCTGCCATTCTGAATTTTGCGTCTCTGAAATACAGATAGTTTGTCAGTAAGTCACTATTGATGTATTGTGAAAAAATGTTGATTTGCGGGTGTAGACGTACAGGTGTAATGAGATTATAAATGAGCAATAAGTATACACTCTCAAGAGATACCTAGGTGAAATGTTCGAAACGTATTAATATACATCATATATGCATATGAGTTTTACACCTTAACTTTTCGTCTCAGGTAAGAGACGGCATTTATAAATTTGTAAAAAAGATACTGGTACATACAGCCATGTACATTAAGGACATAAACACTTTCCATTATTTACTTGGCAAGGAAATAAAAGTCCTTTCTTTCTTAGCGTTTGCAACTACATACCTTCCAGTATAAATTCTTTTAAAATCACTTAAGGAGAGGCGGGGTAAATGAAAATTGTCCATGAAATGAATTTTCTCAATTTCAAACTGCTCGTTTCCATGTGTTTGCACTAGGTAATTGGCATGACCTAGCAGTTCCAATTTTTGTTGGGAACATAGGTTCTATCTCACCTACATCTCAATTTAGCGTTGATCAGATGGAAAGCCATACAGGTTAAGTGTTTCAAAGACCATGTTAAATCGCTGAATTGAAGACCGTCTAAATACTGGGGAATTTAAGGACCATTGCAGACATAACGCATTGATTGCACTGCATACAATATATGCTGATTGCAGTATCGAAACACTGAGACCAGAGTGATAATTTTGCTTGCATCCAGACCTGTATTGTAAAACTAAAAAGAACTGCTTCTTGTGTTTTGTAACCCAAATCATATTAGATTTAGTCTTTAATCAAGCTATCAAATGAAAGTACTTTAAAAATGAATTTATACTGAAAAAGACGCCTTTCTTCGATAGAAGCAAACAATGAATGTTAATCTTAGAAATGGATCACCTCTCATTTGGTTTTTATTACACAAACTTGCCAGATAATCTTTGGGAGTATATATTGTGTCATTTGCTGTCGTCTACGAAGCATGACAGGCATATATAAAGTGTGTTTGACAGTTTTAAATGGTTCACAATCGACACATATAATCAAGCATTGTTTTTATCAACTATACAATGTAGGTCGATGTCTAGGCTTCTAAGGTGTTTGTAACCTTAACACAACGCTGTGTTTTAAGTTTTGATTTTTTCATCAAACTCCCTCTTGTTTGCCATTTTCTGTTGTTGTTTTTTTTTCATGTTAGACTATGGTTATGTAATTAGTTTAACTTTATTCATCTTAGATATTTGATATACCGCAAGAATTATTTACAACATGCATATGAATTGTACATGTAAAGAAGAATATAGATGTTCTAACATGAAAATGAAGAAAAAATGCTCTTTTACCTGGAAAAGAACTTTCTAAATATTACATAGACTACGTTTTTGTCGAAAAGATGCCCTTTCTTTTTTATGTCTATAAAATTTGATAAAAATAACAAAAACTAATATAGAACAGAAAACTTACTTACGTTTTCGTGTAAAAATATCTATATCATAACAGATTTAATCTTATGTGTTCACTCCAATACACAATCCCAACAATCCAATGTCTTAAAAACATGTATGTTTTCAATCACTGGATTAATATTTGAAAAGGAAAGCGGATTATTGCTTAGTCTGTTACACGAACGTGCAACCGGGTCGGCGTGCTTAGTAACCAAGTATGTAATTTTGTTTTTGATGTCTTCGCCAGTTAATGCACATGCAAAAACCTTTATGCATTTGTAAACTTTATTGAATACATAAGAATTTCATTAAACCTAGTTTTCCGAGGCCACTGACGCACTTTGTATATGTTTTGTGTCGTGTAAATACAAATTAGACACTTTGCCACCGCTGTGTTTGAAAAATTAAACTATCAAGATCGCATAAGCGACACTTACAAAGGACGAGAAGCTATCTTTGACAGATTAGGCTAATTCAAAAGACTCGGGTATTTTTTAACCAACAATTATTTGCTTTTTTATCTCAACAATTAATTATTTCGAAAGATTCCGGACTTCTTTATATTTAAAGTCGTAAATATAAATGGTCCAATCGATAAGTTACCCTGATTAACATGCGTGGACTTTTAGAAAATAACAAAAGAACAAATTACATAATTTTTGAATTCTTCGTACTTATCCGAATGAGATTAAAATAATTTGTATAAAAGCTTTGATTGCTTAAAAATGATTCTACAGTCTATTATAAACTAGAAATGGATATTTAACGTTCCGGAATGGTAGATTTAATAATTAATTATTAAGCAGAAATAATTTAAAGGTTTGAATGGAATGTGTTGCATTTAATTCCAAAACCAATATCTTTGCCAATAGAATGCAGTGTTCATGTACAAATCACAAGGGATACCACTTAAAGGAGGTCAATGTATCTTCCAATTCTCAATTAATATCAAAAACTTTTCATTAAGGATGTAGAATTAATATAGTAACATATCGAATCTAATCCATGAAGTTCAGCAATGTAAATATTTATTCAAAACTAACAATTTAATAATTAAGCAGTCATATACACTGGAAGATACGGAGTGCATCCTCATTCTTTTATCTTGAATGGTTAGTCTGATGTGGCGAATTTTTATTTCGCAATATATTTTTATATATATATATATATATCTCTCCAGGAATTCAATAACGGAGGGGGGGGGGGGGGGCAGTAGAAGGCAGGGCGTCTGGGAACAGGGCAAAGCCCTGGTGAGGGTCCCGGAAGCTGACGAATTCTTACAAATAAGTATTGCATAATTTCTCATTTGTATTGTATAATTTTCCTTTTGTATTGTATACTTTTCCATATGTATTGTAAAATTATACAATATAAATGAGAAATTATACAATACAAAATTATGCAATTCAATGGAAAATTATACAATACAAATGAAAAATTATAGAATACAAATGGAAAATTATAAAATACAAATAAACATTATACAATACAAATGGAAAATTATACAATGGAAATGGAAAATTATAGAATATAAATGGAAAATTATACTATACAAATGGAAAAGATCTAATATTACAACGTTTGACATGCCATAGGACTGGTAGATCTATTTTATTTACAGCATGCATTACTAGCGTCGAAATTGCAAAACAATAAATAGAGAGACGCGTCCTAAAGTGGCAACATCGTTTATTGAACCTGAGAAATCACCTATCACTTGTTTTTCATATTGTTTGTTTGACCTTCAAACCAGACAAAAACTGTCAGAGGAAAATATGTAGACTACATGTATGTATTTCATTCTTATCAACAGTTCCAACACCTTTTGTTAAAAAAGATGTTTCTACATTTGAAGCAGTTTTCACAAATGGAATAATTTAACTCGATAAGAGTTTCTCTGCTTAACCCGTTCAACAGCTGTCCAACGCTTTACATTATTACAATGATGAAGATTCATATTAAAATGAAATATCTTATTATAAGAGACAATTACTCGAATAGACACACAAATAGATGGACGATTAGATTTATAAGTGTATCTTCTGTTGGTATTTAGTATGTGGAGATGAATACACGTGTATATCACTTAAAGTTGATTTATAAGTCTCTGTGCATTAGCCGTTCCACCTATCATTAGAACCACAATAAAAACTATGGTTTCCATGGTGATTAAAATAAATGTCACATAGAAAAAGAGAACATCCAGTTTTCTAGCGGCATCATTCCAGGAAAACCTCCCAGGCTTTTTGATGGAACCCGAATCCTCTTTCCCTGTTACGTCAACATCTTCAACGGTCATATTAACCTCTGGAATCCCCGCATCATTATTACACGAGGTCTTGTTCCTGCTCGGTTTTAAGCAGTAGCTACATTTTTTCAAACAGTCGAATGGAAACAGATCGTTCCTTATAAGTTTTTTGACCCATTTTGGTAGAGGCTTTGAATCGTCCTGGAAATTGACAGACATGACTAAGACAGACAGAATGCAGGACACAACACTGAAGCATAAGGTGATGGCCAGGTACACAGCTGAAAAAAAACGATAGTCAGGTAATCTAAATACCAGCTTATTATGATCACTAATGTGAAGCTTGTTCAGATATGTATTTCAAAAACCGTAGTTGGAAAGAAATCTTGTGCTTGATTTTTCGTAAAAAAGTTTTAAAATATACTTACATATAATTGAAACATCGATAGAAGTTGATGGAATTTTATCCGTTATGATTGTTAGTAACACGGCTAAAGATAAAAGTACCGTAAGGATAAATCCAATCTGCAACAATAAAATGACACAAATAGGAGTTAGCAGGTATGTGGAACACATGGGTATCAAGATGTTAACATGAATTTGGAAAGTTTTTAAAGCGTATCTTATGGATTAAATGAACACTTTTAAATTAGTTATAAATCAGATTAATTTCACCCAAATATACTTTTTCTCCAGATTCCACTGGCAGGAGAAAAACAATTGTATTGAGATAGGACAATAGGAACACTGGTAACAAAATGCCTGTGACGTAGTATGCCGTCCTTCTCTGCACCACTAATGTGAACACAATTTCCCAGTGTTTCGTCATCACGCCGTCTGCTCGCAATTCCGTCAATTGGTTTTTCTTGACGTTTGTGTGCAGCAAATGCCACTCACCGTTAGGTCTGTGAAACATAGAATAATATTTGTTTAAGATTGGAACACTGCATGTCGATTGATTTCTTGTTCTTGATTTTTGTGAGTAATTTAATGGTAAAAGTGCAAAGAATAAAACTTTGGAGAACAATATTTTTAAATATGCGACATATTTCTCACGTCAAATACTGTAAAAATGGATAACAACTTTTTATCTCTCACGCATTTTATATCAGAAATTATTCGTTATTATAAAACAGGAAAAGAAGCAAATTTTTTAAGCATTTTTTGTTAATTAAATTAAAAAACATGTTTCATATACAGTGTATTTTGAGGTTATCGTTGGAGATAGACATGTACACATTCAACCTTAATATAATAGTGTAAAGATCTGGTGAATTTTTATAACTACAGTAAGAAAAAATGACATTCAAGGATATAAGAATTGAGGCCAAAAATAGTATCTATGTAATTGATACCAAATGTGTTAAGCGTGGCGCAGTGATTAGAGCGTTTGTTTTAGAGTCGCGATGTAAGGAGTTGATCCTTACGTCGCGTGTTCGAATCCACTGCGGGACGTTGAGACCGTCCTTTGGATGAGACCGTATTAACCGAGGTCACGTGTCGCAGTAGGTGCTGCCACGAAAAATATCTTTCACTGCTCAATGGCCCTAAGTGCCGAGTATAGGACAAATTTTGCAGCCCTCCACCAGCAAGGGGTGGCGTCTCCATATGAATAAAAAATTATCGAGAGGGACGTTTAACAACAAACAAACAAAACTGATAAATGATTTTTGAGGTTTAAGCCATGCATTGGTCAATTTTATGATGAACATGTTGCCACAAAATGTTGATATTACATACTCCAAACCCTCCGTGATAATTTCTGAATTTGCTGGTTGAAGTTCAATTTCGTCGGTTGTATAACCCCAGCTTGTTAGCTTGATTTCACATAGCTGAGTATCAAAAGGGTAGAACGTGATATCGACATTGCAATGGGTGGTGAACATCCGGGGTTGTTCCCACTCTACCTCTCCAGCCCAGGTAGCACAAAACGTTTTCATAACATTTTATTCCCGTTGTAATGATGTTATCTGAAAACATTTTTAATAAAACGTTTATAAAATGTTTTTAAAACGTTTAATTTTGGTTGTAAAGACGTTATCAGAAAACGTTCTTAACAATCATTTTAAAAATGTTTTTCATAACATTTTGTTAGTGTTGCAAGGAGGTTTTCAGAAAACATTTAGCATTTAACATAAATCTCTATAATGATAAAATATCATTTAGCTATACATTAAATACATGATTGAAAAAAAATCATACCTTGTGTAATAATTATTATAAATTTCATGAAATACAAATGTGACCAGACAACATGAATACAAGATTGTCTTAAAATGTTTGCAAAACATTGTAAAAACGTTACAGAAATACCAACTCCAAGCATCAGAAGTTTTTTTAATTATTAAGTGTAAGACGTTATATGTATATATATATATATATATATATATAAAACTTCTATTCTCTTATAAATAGCTCCAAAGTGTGAGTTATGATTGATTTTGAGTCGTGGTAATAAAATTAAAACAACAACAACAACACGAATGTGTTCATATTTATCTCTTATACCATTGTAAAAAGTATTTATATATATAACAAGGAGAGTTAAAAAAAATTCTGAAAAATTATTTGTTCAACAAAGTTCCTGAATTAAATAATTCAGTGGAGTCATTTATTTGTGCTATGGGAGTTAAGTTCCCCCTTCGATAATGTGTTTATCGAGAGTTAATTGAGTGACACAGCGGGATGCCATGGCCAGGACTGATGCAGCCGATCCTTGTTGCAAACTATGTCCATGTGATCTATATAGGTCAACAGAATCACAGTTTTGAAAAACCCGGCGGCATTCTTGTAAGACAAAGAAAAGGAATAGGGGAATATCTTACAAATGTCAACGTATGGTATGTTAAATTTTAAATAGTATTCATATTGTATATTTAGCAATCATATTGTAGCTGTAAATACATATGTATTTAGAATCTTAGATCTTTCATTCTCATAGACTTAGGTGTATATATGTTTGTTGAGTTGGATTTAAGTTCATTTGCATTTGAATTAGGCGGGCGATTTATTGTTTGAAAACTTGAGTTTATTTACATATATTAAAAATGTGTGACGAGGTTTAAAACATAATTAAAACATAGTTGGGAATAGGAATGGGTGTGGGAGGGGGTCTTAACAAGACAGGGTTAGATAATCCTTAAGAGATGTAAAATGATTTGTTAGATTTGTTTATGTATTACAGAATACAATGCCACGTTAAACATGTTAAACCTATTTTCTTTTGGAAGGGAAAGGAGAGGAATTAATTAATCAATCTCAGGCTTGATTATATATTTGCTAGCAATCAAAGATTTCGAAATCCACATTCTTCATGATAAAATATAACACTCATTTTAGTGAATGTAATTGTTTCCATGCAGGTTGGAGATATAAGGAGGACAATGATACAAACAAATGGCACGGGTCAGTTCACTGAGACTGGAGAGAGGGTTGAAAAGTGCACTCTTTTAAAGAATTATTAAAAGTAAGTTTTTCACCATTAATGCTAAGAAAATGCATGAAGATTCAGTTAACATATCAACTTATAAATCATTGGAAAATGTATAGAGCAAAAGGAAAATGATCTAAATACCAGTAATGCTGTGTTGTTTTCATTTAACTATTAAACATAGGCGTCGGAACCGGGGAGTCTAGGGAGGGGCTTAGCCCCCCCCCCACTTTTTTTGCAAATATAGACATAATAGAGTTAGTGAAAATTCGGGCTTACCCCGTTTTTGTTGGTTTACCCCCCCCCCCCCCCACTTTTAATTTGCTTTCGACGCCTTCGTTCAATATGCTTATACATTCACTTATAATGAATTTCACATTACATTTTAATAGCTGCTGCTTACAAGGCTTACAAAGCATCAAAGACAATCTCTTACGATTTAATGAGATGTGGGACGAAGAGGTTTGATTTATACCTTCCTGTAGGAATTTATTAAATATGATAAGGTATGTTTGACGTTGGTTATCAGAAATATATAGATATATTTACACATGTAAATTTTTGTTTATTAATACAACTGTATACCAAAACATACTTTTTCTGTGATTATCTGATTTTTATATACTAGTATGTGTAGTTTGTTAGATGCCCTAATACATGGATATGTTTAACTAAAAAGAAATGTACGAGTATGAATGGGTAATCATTTAGTCAAAGTTTTATGTCCAAATTTTTGTTTTTCAGATGAAAATAGAGAAGTCCAAGTGTACAACAGATTAATTTCTAATGGAATAAGGATGCTGTGATCTTTACGTATTTCAAACAGTACAAATTTCATTTGAAGGAAGACTGTAATTTTATTGTGCAGGTGTTAAAAAAACAGTGTTTAGGCAACATTAATGAATGGATTTAAATTTATTAAATTATAAGAAATATATTGTTTATTATGTTGTAAAATTGATTTTTTTAAATGTTTTAAAAACATTCTAAGAAATGTTCTCAAAACGTTTTTAAAAATGTTTTCCAAACGTTTTTAAAAATGTTTTTAAAACATTACAATACAACGTTTTTGCAAAACGTTATAATAACGTTTAAAAAACCACACAAAATAACGTTGTAATAACGTTTTTAAAAATGTTTTCATAACATTTTCATAACGTTTTTATAACGTTTTAATAACGTTGTTGTGCTAACTGGGAGTATAAGTGACTCGGTACAAAAGATTAGAATCCGAGATAATGTTTAGGTCAGAAACCCTGTATTTAAGAGAAATCGCATATAAAATTCAAATACATGTAAAAAAAAAAAGATCTTCCTTCATTTCAAGATATGATGAAAATACTTGAACCTTTTTTTTAGATTACAAAATTGTACAAAATGGCATTGGAAATTCATGTTTATCAGAAATATTACCATGTTTTTCGGAATTTTTAAATGTATGCATGCTGATCAAAAATATCTTTTGACGTTTTGAAAGATAGGAAAATTAGAAAGGAAAATAAAGTTGAAACTAACGAGTTATCTATGAAGAAAACAGGCCGCCACACCTCACTCTCGTCTGCGAAGATATCTGTTATGTTTGGGTATTTAGAAACATTCCAGGCCAACCTGTGATCTTCCCAACTCTGAATGTAACACAGTGTTACTTTTAGTGAAAGTATTCGGAGTAAATTTTAAGCTATTTTGGAAAGAGTAAAATTATTCTGTGCAGATATTTTCTCAAAACAGACCTACCGCCTCTATCCAGCCTGTCGTTGATAAAACCTGGTTCTTTATATCCTAAAAATTAAGACTTTTCAAATTATTATACATGTGGAATTTTATATTTTTTCTGCTTTGTCATGTAATCTAAAGGTCCTTTTAACTTATCTTTTCTACAACATAATATAATAAACTTACTTTCCACGAATCATTTCAGTGGTAATTAAGTAAGTTCGTAATTAAAATAATTTAATTTCAATTCATTGGTTATTAAGTAGATTTAGTTCCTTGTTGCTTTGACATATATTTTATTGACAACATCAAAAGGACTGGAAACAAGTTCTTATAACTAAATAATGCCTCTCCTTATTATCGGCCGCAGCAGAGGCCGATCTAATTGTGTGCACATGGGGAAATGAGACGTTACTCCTCTATTTCTATATAAGTTCAGTAAAATAATTTTTTAATGATAACATGTATAAAATCATGAATAAAATATGTTTAAAACCTTGCTTTAAACAAAATTTTAATTGTTGTTATTATGTTTCAATTGCATTTTCATTTCTTAATTTATGATGATATAAAAAGAGTTTACAATAGGTCCTCCCTGAATATACAATCACAACTTTTAGGTCTTTCCGGCAAGCGGAAAATTGTGTTTTTCTGAGCTTACCGGGAAGACTCGAGAAGATGCGAATGCTGAAAATAATAGAACTACATCTTCCTTTCGATGACAATGAATTCTTATCATTAATCACTGACTTTATTACATCGATGAATCAGTTTGATGAACAAATTTCCATTTATTTATTTTATTTTATTATTTATATATTTATTTATTTGCTTTGAAGACAGTCTGAAATAAAAATGATCACTCAGTTTTGAATATCTTGCGCTCTCCTTGGATGCTGAGTTGTGAATGTACTTTTGAATTTTGTTTGCGGCCGATTTGATGCTTTGCTGTATTATATACACTTATCCACTGGTTGAGAGTGGGATAGCTCTTTTATCAAACCCACATCGTGAACAAATTCTCGAGGGCTTGCATGAAATACGAAGATAATGAAGAGTATTCAAGCTCAAAGTCCATTTAGACAATACAAATCGGAAGCAGAGCAAAGACGGACCTCCAAAAACATCAGAAGTGGGATCAGGTGCCATGGAGGAGTGAGCATTCCCTGCCGACTGGTCACATCCGCCGTACGTGTGCTTCTTGTCATGATCGGGGAAAAGTCGTACATTTTGATATTATTGATTTTGTTAAAATTTTGTGATTTCAAATTTTTTTAAAGTTCCTTGGAGTTTTTAAGTATCAACATCTGATTTACACCAATTCTCAAACATACTGTTGTAAAGTACTCGTGAAGTTTCCCCTTCACTGCTGTAAATATTTTAGTGAGGAGTAAAGAAAGGGGCTGGATATAGAACATTTACTGGAACCCGCTATATATCTTTGTTTGTAAGGAGTTTTATGGAGTTTCGGAATCCAGTAAAGGTATGGTAATTCAAATTCATTTTGATTGTTGGGAATATTAAAAATATTTTTTTGAAAATTTTTATCTTAGAAATGAAGCAGGTAATTTGTAATGTTTCTTTGAAGAAAGAGCTATCCCACTCACCACAAGTGATCGTTTTTTTATGCTGATGTATATCATAATTTCTGAGGGTTGGGTTACATGATGCTACAAATTCATAGGCAAAACATGAAAATAGCTTTGCAAGACGTAAAATTTTCAGACTATAAATAGAAAAATAGTTATTTCACTTTCTTAACTTTACATAGGAAATGTTTTAACAGAAGTATAATAACACATATTGTTATACCTTTGAAAATTGGTTCTTATTTAATTCTGTACGAACACAAGATGTGTTCGTGAAACACTGATGCCCCCGTATGGCAGCCCGTACGTTCCTTTCAGAGGAATACACCTCTGAAAGATGAAAGCCTTAGTACCAGCCATTCAAAGGTTATGACCAAGGTTAAAGTTTTTCAAAATAGGTTGATCTCCAAGGTCAAAATTAATAGTGCAAACGGGAAGGTCTTGTCACAAGGAATATACATGTGAAATATAAAAGCCCTAGCACCAACCATTTAAAAGCTATGGCGAGGTTGAAGTTTTTCAAAATTAGGTTAAACTCCAAGGTCAAGAATAAAAGGTCACAACTATTGGTATCTTGGGGAAGGACTTATCACAAGAAATACAAATTTGAAATATGAAAGCCCTAGCACCAACTCTTCAAAAGTTATGACCGAGGCCTAACGGCCTCAGGCAAACAGTTTGGTTCTTGGGTCCGACAAAACCATGTTGCCCTCGAACCCAGTCAATAAATGTATAATAAACCCCGAGGTATATCTTTGCTAGACGAGAAAATTTCAGATTATAAAAAAAATTATTTTACCCTCTTAACTTTATATAGGAAATGTTTTAACATAAGTATTGTCATGGATTATCCGCGAGTTCATGTAACGTTAACTTTGTTGTGACGTCATAATACTTTCGTTTGTTTCTATAGATAATAACAAGTCTCAAATAAACCACTATACGATCAAGACGTCTTTCATTTCATTCCACAACATTTTGGTGCCGTGACCGACGGAATTCTAGGTAGTACATACAATGGAAGGAAGACTAAAAGCTATACGAGCCGGCAACAGATCAGCAGTTACAAAGCTATTTGGACGGTTTTTGGACTTGAAGGAAAATTCAGCCAGTGAAGAAATTACCGACGAAATCAACATAATTAGAAAGTCTCTCGCGCTGAAAAGGCAGACCCTACAAGAATTGAATGACATCATATTGGATACCCTATCTGAAGAAGACATCGAAACAGAAATCGCAAATACAGATGAGTACATGTATGAATTAGACTGTAAAATTAGGCAAACTGAAAAATTTACAGAAAAAATTCCATGTAAAACTTTGAATGCCAATGCTGAGTGTTTTACACCCGCCACAGAAATTTATGATAATAACGTTAACACGTCAGCTACAATTAACTCAAGTGAAACGGCTTGTGAGAATATTTTGAACAATGTTCCTGCCACTGATCTCAATGCACAAAGTAGCCAGGAAAATGTTTTGTCATTAACATCCCAACACGCCAGTAATAATCACCGATTACCAAAGTTAGATCTTCCGCATTTTTACGGAGATGTATTAGAATGGAATACATTTTGGGATTCTTACGAATCAACGATTCATTGCAATCATACTTTGACGCCAATTCAAAAGTTTAGCTATCTCAAAGCTCAATTACGCGACACAGCAGCACAAACAATAGCAGGATTTGCGCTTACAAATGCTAATTACGAAACGGCAATAGACTTGCTCAAAGAACGATTTGGTCAGCCACAGAAAATTATTAACGCTCATATGAGAGCACTCATCGAACTTCCTGCCCCCATAAATGACGCCATTAGTTTAAGAAATTATGGAGACTTCTTGGAATCTCATGTCAGGAGTTTAGAGTGTCTAGGACAAAGACAAGAGATGTTTGGAGCATTACTTATTCCAGTCATAATCAACAAGCTACCAACTGAAATTAGGAAAAACATTGCACGTGAGTACGATGGTGACAACATTTCACTACAAAATCTTCGTAAAGCTATCAGCAAAGAAGTCAAAATCCTTGAATCAGGCCAGATTGAAAACGGCGATGGATTTCACGCAACAGCAATGTTTCTTACCGGAGCCTCAAAGAAACAACGCAACGTTCATTATTCACATAACCAGAAAACGAGAGAGTCAACTCCTCATGTTGAAACAACAGAGATGAAGAGCCGCCCATGCATTTATTGTTGCACAGAGAATCATTTTCCAGGGGATTGTAAGAAAGTTACAGACGTAAGTGCAAGATTTGACATCTTAAAACGGAAGAAATTATGTTTCAACTGCTTGGGAAACCACCGCGCCTCAGATTGTAAATCCCGCAACAGGTGTAAAAAGTGTCAGAAAAAACACCACACAAGTATATGCAACATGAAACTAACGAGGGACAGAGACGAGCCCACCAAATCAACAAGTGTCAATATCGTAGAAACGAGTAAGAAGCCAGAAACCACAGTACTGAACGTTGAACATCGACCTACAAGTGTTTTACTGAATACAGCTAGGCCTATCTCTTCGATAAGTCGGACCATGGACTCCATGCTAGAAGAACGTAACAAGTTGACTAACGAGATACAAAAATTAAAATCAGAGCTGAAGACACAGACACAAAGGAGGAACGCGTTGGAGCATGAGAATGCCACCCTGATAGAGAGAGTGTCACAATTCGACCAACAAAAGGATTTTCAGACTCGTGTAGAGAATGTGATGAAGGAAATGATGGAACAGAAAAATAAACTGGCGTACGAAAACGGACGTCTGCATAAGGAGATTCAGGAATTAAGGGGCCAAGTTGACATACTGAAAACCGCCACCTCTGACTCGGAGCATCTCAAGGCTAAAAACAACAGTCTTCAATCACGATGTGATTACACTCGAAGGGAAATAAGTGATCTAAAGATCAACGTACAAAGATTGGAAAATCAGCTGCAAACTTTACAGGGCTCCATAGATAGCAGGGAGAGAGATTACACGTTCGCCGTAAAGACTCGTGATGAGGAACTAAGGGAGAAAACTCAGCTGATAGAAAAACTTAAAGTGGCCGAGGAGAAGGAAAAAGATAAGTCACAGAAAAAGAATCTCAGGGACATGGCAGAGATAAAGAAACAAAACAACAACCTACAGACTCGGAACATGGAGCTGGAGAAAGCTAACACAGAAATACGTCACAAAGACTCGGAAACTGAGACTCTGATACAAAACCTGAAATATAAAGTGTCTGAACAGAAGAGGATCGAGTATCAAAAACAAAAGCCAAAGAAAGAATCCATGAATGGACTTCTTAATTTAATGATTATGAACTTGCTTTTTATTTCAATGGAACTGTTAATTTAATATGAGCTTTTTAAAATTTTACTATTCATTTTGGTGCCCGGAGTGTCATGGATTATCCGCGAGTTCATGTAACGTTAACTTTGTTGTGACGTCATAATACTTTCATTTGTTTCTATAGATAATAACAAGTCTCAAATAAACCACTATACGATCAAGACGTCTTTCATTTCATTCCACAACAAGTATAATAAATTACAGAATGTCAGGCAAATTAAAGAAAAATAATACAATTAATACCTTGTTTAAAGGATACTATGTATGTATTGTTGAAATTATGGGGCTTTATTTGAATATTAAATAATCTTATTTTATCTTGTAGAAAATCATATAGAAAAAAAGTAGAAACAAGTATTTAAAAATAAGAATGAGAGCTAACAGACAATATTCTTATAAACTCGTGATATAAAAATGTTCCATACCATAAAGTTGATGGTGATAAGGTTCAGAGCCACACTGACATTTGTAGTCTGAGACGGACGGACCAGTCTGTCATAGCTGGTGCCGAGGACCCCATTCTTCCTTATTGTCTGAACATCAGAAGAACTCCAAGACGACGAAAAGGAAACCCAGATAACCAAAACAAAGGACAAAAACAATTGTCTTATTCCAATACTTATAGACATTTTAGAAGTTTATCGGGTTTGCAACTTCGGAGCTTCGGGAAATCCACAATGTGCGAGTAATAGATTTAAATATATAGCACTCACTCTCTATTGATCGCTAGTCGAGCTATGCTTTATGCAAATGCAGTAAATTGATTTGATAGGAAATAATATACCATTGGTCTTAAAGTTTTTTTTTCGTAAAAAGGGCAACGATGTGTATCCTGAACTTTCAGCCTTTTATTTTTGTTTTTGCTTGTTTAACTAGACGTGCAAAGGAATGATGCAAACTGATATACCTCTGGTGTCTGTTTCTTATCTTGACGGTTTTATAAAAGTGGGGATAAAAGATTTCATCTTATTTTAATAATAATAATGTCTGTTCATTTAATTGTATTGCTTATACTAAGTGTGTTTCTTTCCTCTACGTATTAAAGCTACAAGACCCAATTTAGTTTGTAACGATCATATTCTCTTATTTGAAAAAAGAGAGAGAAAAGATAAAGCACGTTGATTTTTAATTATTGTTTGTTTAAACTTAAATAGGAAATTTATATCGTACCTCTCACAAAAGAGGGAGTTATTATCTTGCAATTGATTTCTATGTCTAGTTAATTAGATAGCAGCATAAATCTGATTTAGCGAGCAATTCCCGAAAGATTAATGAGTTGGGCATGGTCTAGCAAATGACTTTTAACATCTACCCAATAGTTTAAGCTTCCTACTCAATAACCTATCCAATACCAATCATCATTAGAGAATCGTTAATTAATAGCAAGGTAGGACAGAAATACTTTTAAATTAATTAAAGCTAAATGTGAATTCAATTTTTGATGAATACCCAAATGAATTCGTAGGTAAATGACAGGTTATACATCCCATTGAAAACTAACTCCACAATATGAAAAAAAAAAAAGAAAAACCTTTGCGATGTTTCTTCACCGGTCAGAAAAAAATCTGATGAATTTCGGCTCTGCAGCTTAACACATTTAATGATATAGTTAGGACTGGAATTCGTTTACAATAGCTGTCATCCTAAGATTGATCTTGAAGCAGTAATTCACAAAATTTGGATCTAGTATTGATGGTTTTCAGCCTGTCCAATTAGATTATCAACGACATTTCATATCAAGCCTTCTCGTATCTGCCTCAAGTTGTAGAATTTAGGATTTATTTCTAAAATTACCCATGATAATATACATTTTCTTTACTATAGATTGTAATCATTAATAAAGCATTCTTCTCCACCAGTTCCTGTCAATTGTCAGCGTGTATTCCTCTGAGGATTCAGATTTTCTGCCCATGCTTCATTCAGTGCCAGAAATTGAATTTTTGTTTTTTTCCCTAGTTAATGGTTTTTGCACGCATTTTTTTCATTTACAGAGCGTTAACTGACCGTTTGATTTAAGACAGATCTTATTGGTATTGATGTTTAGTTGTGACCAGTATTTCTATTTCCGATAATGATACGTTTTTATGTTAGAAAGCCTTCAAAGATCTGGCATGAAGAATTAAAAAAAGAATGCCGATTTATCTAATTTGGATAACATAAATTAAAGACAATTAAAAAAATAATAAAACTAGCAGATTAATTCCGGTCCTCTATTAACAAGGAACATGTGAAAGAAATTGGTATTTTATCAAATATTAAAATTGACAGCTGGGCAAAAAATATGGCAAGAAAGATTTGGAGGATCTAAACAAATTGTTTAGAATTGAATGTACATTGAAAGTGATTTGAGCATACATTTTACACATTTCTTATCAATGACACAATTCTTAAATTTCGATAAACATTGCTATCCATAGATTTCTCATACCATACTTATAGTTTTGTATACAATACATGTACATGTAAGTAATTTCAGTTTAATTCAACTTCTTTAATACATTAAAATGCATTGTTATGATATGAACTTTATTCTATTACTATATCATAATATACTTATTAATAAAGAAGATTTTTGAAATAAAATGCATTTTCACGATAGGCTACATTTAGTAGCCCGTTCTTGAAGAAATGTTCAATGAATATTTTGGGGCTATTTTTTATACTTTATTTGCTCGTTATAACAGTAACCATTTTGTCTGTATGTCTCTTATATCATTGTAAAGAAGATTAAAAAAGATTAAATGCATTATAATGTATACTGAGAATATTGGGCCTTTGTATTTGATAGGTGCATTTCCCGTGACATGACTTTTCCAAATAAAGTATGATTTGTGACCACGTGACCTTGAAGTTTAACCTACTATTCAAAATTTAAACAGTGGTGATAACTTTTAGATAAGAAAACATAGGGCATTCATTTTGACATTTGCATTACCTGTTACAAGACTTTTCTGAATATACTATGGTTTTTGACCTCGTGACCTTAAAGTTAAACATACAATGATACTTTTGAATAAGAGAAAATAGGGCTTCATATTTGTCATGGTACATTACCTTTGACAACACCTTTCAGAAAGAACTATAATTTTTGATTTCATAACCTTGACCTAGAAGTTTGACCTACTTATCAAAATTTCAAGTTTGGCCATAACTTCAGAAAAGTTTTCATATTTTCGCCACATGTGCATTACTTGTAATAAAACCTTTCGGATTGTATTGTGATATTTGACCTCGTGACCTTGACCTTGAAGTTTGATGCAGTTTTAAGAAACTTTAATCTTCGCCGTAACTTTAATTCAAAAGTTTAAAATCTATTATCGTATGATGGACAGAAAAGGTTAGACAGGACACAGAGAAAAAAACCCAGATACAATATGCTATTCTAATTATAATAAAAAATAGCATTCCAACCACAGGGACACCGAAAGAGGGGGACACAATTCTTGAATTTTTTTGTTCTTTGCATACAGCCCTGCCCTGGAGCCAAAACCCCTTGGACAGGGTAATGAATTTCACAATTTTCTCTGAGACACATTTGCTTGTTAGAACTGTTCACTCAGTATGTCATGTAGATGCTTGCTAGTAAAGAAGATTACATGTAATCAATCATTAAGCAGAAGTTGTAAATCTTCAAAAATTAACGTGCGACACTAGCCACCAGTTTTAGCAATAGGTCACCTTTTACAGTGGCTCAGGTGACACACACACAAACCCACCCTCACACACACAATAATAACAAGGATTCTTCAATCATTTAAGCTGTCACGGTAGCTCAGTTGGTAGAGCGCTCTCTCCTTGATCAGAAGGTCGTGTGTACGAATCACGGCCGCGAGTGACCCAAGTCTAAAAAATATAGGTAGCAACTGTTTCTTCGCCAAGCGCTCGGCACTTTAAAGTGAAAGATGCGGGTCCTTTGGATGAGACCTTAAAAACCGAGACCCCGTGTCACGGTAGACGTTGGTACGATAAAGAACCCTCACTGCTCAATGGCCCTAGTCTAAATTTGAAGCCCTTACCGGTATATGGTGACGTCTCTATATGAGTGAACAATTCTCGAATGGTACATAAAACAACACACAATCAATCAATCATTTAATATTCTTCAATCATTCATTTCTACATGAAATGAAATTATTTTAAAATGTTGATTGTTTCTGCGTGATTAAAATGAATATTTTTAAAAAATTAAAGTTATTAGAGGGCTGTTTTCCCTAATGTACAATGTATTAAGTTCAATTCAATATACCAAAGCTATAGTCTTGCCTGAGATTTCTCCTTCACATCACACTATGTGATACCTCTATGTTACACAAATTTAAAAACAATTAATGTAGAGGGTTAGCAGTGGAAATATGTTTGAATTATATAAACAATTTGAAATAATTTAGCCCTGATGTGAGTTATTTCGTTAAGTTATCGGTTTCCAGGAAGTTAAACTTGGCCTTACGTGGATTCCCTGACGCCATGTCCTTAGCTTCAACTATCAGCTCTGTTCCACCAAAAGTCATTTTGACTTCGATTTCCCTATCATTGTTTGATTTCTCCAAATCTACCGACATTTTTCCTACATAGGAGCACGTGCAATCGGTAGTATATTTAGGATATCTCTCAGATGAAACGTAAATTGGAATGTCCACAGTATCAGAGTCTTTGTGTAAAGGTGAGTAATAACGGGGTTCAAGGGGCGTTCCCACTTCAACTGTTTCGTTGACACCCACATGGACGCTGAAGATATCTCTGCATTTATCAATGCCACCAACTTTAAATCTTTTCTCTGGAGGATCACCTGATTCAAAATTTCTATTGGACTGGACACCGTACGTCCATTTTGTCTTCCTGGAAACAATCGTTTTAGGATTATGTCCAAAGAGCACGGCGCCCTTCACAATAGCCAAGCCCGCTTCTTCTGGTATGATGACTCTGTTATTCTTGAAATTGTTTTTAATTGCTTCTTGAATAAGTTTGCATTCAGAAAATCCACCAACCATTAAAATGTTTTCTACCCCATCGCAAAACGGATGCACAAGGAGTTCCTTGACGTGATTAACAATACTTTCACAACAATGTTTAAATAGTTCATGAACAATTTCTCCGTTCATGCGAAGTTTGTCTCCTTTCCACATTAGCTTGTCCTTATGTCTCGTCTGCGAAATCGTTGATTTTAAGTCTTCATCATATTCATCCTCAAAAATGTCTACCAAGGATACCGGAATTCGAAAAGTGATTTTTTCTTTCACATTAGTGGACACTGATCGCTTTTTAGTTTCGAATTCCCGAACAAGTTCAAGGTTATCGGCAGGATGATTTTTCTTGAAATTCAACATCACCGGACTCCCAACAATTCCCATAATCATTTGGATAAATGCTTCGTCGATTTTGGTTCCTCCCCATGCCCCTCCGCTGGCTTTGTGGAGTTCCTTAAGGGTATAATCGGACAGTACCTCTTGAACAGTTACATCAACAGTCCCTCCTGTAAATAAATTACAGCTGTGTATGGGGTGAAAAATAAAATTTAAGTCATCAAACTTTAAAAATAACTTTTGGCATCGGCCATAGCATCGTATTTTTTATTAGAGTGGAGGGGGAAAATTAAAAAAAAATGACAAGAAAAAAGAGACCTAAAATAGTT